CAAAAGTCCCATCAGCTGACTATCTGATGCACAGATCAGAATTCAAAATCCCGATCTGTTTAAAATATTAGTGTTGTTCCCTACAGTCATTTATTTATCTTCTTTTCACGGCTATATTGTATGCTACATTGAAACCTTAAATGACTACTATATCCTTCAGAAATATCGCTGTTAATATAACTAAGAATTTTGATCACCAGGTGACATTAGTTAGAAAACCAATGGAAAACCTAGCAGTACTGGACAATTGTTTCGTTCTGGTAGGCATCCACTCGAGTTAGACCAAAGAACCTTCCTGCTGAAGGGCCATTGAATAAAGTCACAGTAGCTGGTCTACGAGCTCGCCTTACAACCAAAACTACCTGGGGTTTGAATGTTGGTTTTGTGCGTGCCATTGAAGAGTCCTTTAACTAGGACGAAACAGTTATCCTGTACTCTCAGCTGGTTTTCCAATAGTTTTTAACTGACATCAGCCCATGATCAAACGCGTAGCCAATCAAATGGTTGCAAGCCAACACATGTTGATAAATTCAACAATGTCATGGTGTTCTTGTTTCGTAACTGTTTCAAAATCAGACTGATTACAGGGGAATGATGAAGTCTGCGAGGAGTTGAATAAAACAAAAACCATTACCGTATTTTACAGATACAGACGGATTTTTAAATGTCCGCTAGTGATAGGTGAAACGAAAAAGCAAGAAAAAGCATAGTTTGTTATTCATGATATCAAGAGTATGTGCTTGTATACAATTTTAGATAACAAAATTTAATTAGTTTTAACCATACGTATATTTATTTATGATACATTCACAAGGGAATGTAGACATACTTTTTTCAATATGTAATGATTAAGTTAGAGGTTTCACTACTGAAATATTAATAAAGGAGACATGCACTTTATATTTCTATAGAAATTCAAATCAAATTGAAAGTAAACCGGATAAGTTGAGATAAATATAACAAGGATTATATATATTAATAACTGACCACTGGTCATTTTCAATATCAGTTATCTATTTTTTATTCTTGTGAGTTGATTAGAGATTGATATCAGTTAGAGAACCATTGAGAACCAGCTGAGAGCACCTGACAGTTGTTTCTTCCGTCCTAGTTTGAAAATCATCGGCAATACGCACCCACAACAGAAGGGTTCGAATCCAGGACCTTCCAGTTACAAGGCAAGCTATGTCGTAAACCACCCAGTCGCCATTGGGACCCAATTCAATGGTCTATGAAGTCTAGCTTCCACCACTTCGTGATTTAGGGCGACCATTAACCCATGTCGTCGGCAGGACATCCATCATCACACTTGACTGGTTGGACCTCACTGGTCATGACGTCTCACAAGAACTCAATCCAGGAAACTCCGTCCTTCAGCAAGTCACTAGTGAGCATCAGATTAATTTTCAATGGTTGGTTTGTAAGGGTTAGAACAGGAAGGTCTTGGGTTTGAACCCTGACAGTGGGTGCGTACTGCCGGTGATTCCCAAACTAGGCTGTTGAAACAGCTGTCCAGTAATCCTTGTGTCTGGTTTTCAATGGTTCTCTAACTGATATCAATCCATAATCAACTCGTGAAAACAAATCTATTCCTTACAAACCAGCAAATGAAAATTCTTTTCATTCACTGGACAAGTACAGTGGATTGTTCTAGTGATCATCAATCGTTGAATGGACAACCTAATGATATAGACTACTGAAATTAAGAATTGCGGGAAATCGCAGTTAAAACAGGCAGCATGTGATCACTATCTGTATAACTGCAATACCTAGAAATATTTTAGTGCATCTTTATTAGTAAAAGCTGTAAAAATAGCCCACCACCTCATGTATGTCATTATATTATTGTTCTATTGGGTTATTGGTGGAACATAGGGCTTCAACAACACATCTCTACTTTGTTTTGATGTTTGCAGGCCTCTTCATCTGGCACCACGACTATCGATACGCTCTGATCTCCTCCATGTCATCCTCGAGAAACACGCACAAGTCGTCATTTCACCCTCCGATCCTGCTAAAGCGAAGGCCTGGTACGCGATGTCATTCGATTTTCTCCTCAGTTGCATGTGTCCTATCCATCTCTATTTTCTTCATCATATTTGTTAAGCGATAGGTTCCTGATCGCTTTGTTCCTAGAGTTTCTTGTTACTGATTCTTTCTGGCGATTTTATATCTTAAATGGAACGCAGTCAGCTGCTGATAAAAGTCCGCAACTGGCTGTTGCAAATGCCTTACATGGTGCTCCACGTTTCTGGCCCATAGAGAAGAAGTGAGTGACTTAACGCTGGTGCTGAAAATCCGAGTTTTTTTGTTTATGTTATAGAGTGCGAAAAATTTCCTAACTGATTTCAGAGTGATGAATGCTTTACCTTACCTTTTCCGACTATAGTTTTGATATCTTCATCCTCATTGTGTCGTTATAATGAGAATAAATTTTGTTTTCCCGAAACAGTGTTCCATTTAAATGAAATAACCAATATGTAATGGTCAATACATGAATTTTAATAGTTTAGTCCTTTTGAGATGAAAGAGAAATCTGATCCACTCCTTATCGTCAAGAATGAGAAGAATGTGTATCAGTGATACAATCATTTGTAAACTGGAGCAACTCAGACAAGTCTCGATTGAAGACGGATATTACTTCAAGATTCTTGGAGGAAACATCAAAGTAAAGCAAAAACCTGAAAGACCCTAGACGGTACCGAAGAGACTGCCGTTGAATTTAAAGGTGATACCGAAGCTGAGATCCAAAAGAAGCGTTTATGCAGGTCACTGAGAAAAGCCTTCTTTTCGGTTGAGCTACAGATCAGTTTTTACAGCTGACAAATGATCGATGGATGTATGAAGGATGAACAGTCTCTTCGGGCCACTTCAGTGTGTGTTTATAAATTCACCTGCTCCTGTGGGGTTAGTTATGTTGGTTGCACTAAGCGCACACCCTCCAAACTCACCTCTGAACATTATCCGGCATGGTTAGTTAAAGGACAGTGCAAAACAGTTACTAGCTCAATTCTCAAGCACATGGTGAACTCAAGCTGAGCAGCTCCAGTAGAGTCGTCTTTCAAGATTATCCACAAGGTGGGACTAAATGGTACAAAGGGTGTTAGGTTTCGGCTTTTGTGTATGGCAAGGTATTGGCAACTGGTCAGTACAATTCTGAACTCTGTATACAGAAAACGTTTGTCCAGTCTCTTATTCTACCGTGGCCTTAACCTCTTCACTAGTCGTTCCCTGAAAATTTTTAATGATTGCTTTGCTTTTACTTTAGTAATTAATTCACTATTATCACTCGAATGTTCCTTGTTAAGTGGAGACTCAACTACCTTTCTTATCACTCAGTAACAATCTCAACCTCATCAATTTTGTAAAGTTTTCTTCCTTTGTGCTGCTGAGTATTACGTAGTTTACACGTTTATTGTTTACTTTTGAAGCCATTTCTGAGTAATTACATCAGTGATCCACAACGGAAAACTCAGCGAGGCGTTTGGAGTAAACACAGGAGTCAGACAAGGGTGCTTACTATCACCAATGATATTCCTAATTGTGGTGGACTGGATTATGCGTCAGACTGTGGGGAACGAGAAGACAGGAATATCCTGGACCGACGTGAAGAACCTAGAAGACCTGGATTTCGCGGATGACTTATGTTTGATGTCACACACAATCAAAGACTTACAAGCGAAAACCGACAAACTGGTCGAAGAAGCAGCAAAGACAGGACTCCAGGTAAACATAGACAAGACGGAGGTTATGAAAATAACCAAGCAACAACAACAACAGCAGCATCATCCAGCGTCAATCATCATCAACGGGAATGATTTGAAAGAGGTTACTTCATTCACTTATCTAGGGAGCATTGTCTCAACTACAGGAGGAGTGGACGAGGATGTCAAATCGAGCGAGAACCCGGAAGGCGAGCGAGAAACACATTCATCAGCCTGAAATCAATCTGGAAATCTTCGTCACTCAGCATCACCAACAAAATTCGGATTTTCAATACAAACGTAAAGTCAGTTCTTCTATATGGATCAGAAACTTGGCGGGCGGGTTACAAAGAATATTTCGAAAAGGCTGCAGACCTTTATTAACAACTGTCTTCGCTCAATACTGAAGATCAGATGGCCGGAAAGAATCACCAACAAGAAACTATGGCTGGGAACAAACAAAGCAAGAACCAACCGTCCAACAAATATGCAGGAGAAAGTGGAGATGGATCGGACACTCGCTGAAGAGACTGCTGGGTGACATCGCGCGCCAAGCCCTCAAATGGAACTCGAAAGGGAAGCGGCGTGTGGGACGTCCAAGGGTGACATGCAGGAGATCGTGTGAAGAGGATTTGAAAGAATATGGATTAACATGGATGCAGGCGAAAAGTATAGCAGAAGACAGAAGAAAATGGAGACGTGCAGTTGAAGCCCTATGTTCCATTAGGAACCCAAGAGAGCAATAATAAATAATAAATACATCAGTTCTGTCACCCCATATTACTCAGTAATGAGAACAATATTTTATTCCTAAAGCAGTCTACCATTTGTTAACACTGTGCCTGACGTGTGTGGACCTTTGATGTAAATGTGTGGTTATCTGTGCTGTACCGTATTAAAGCGCACCTAGCATATGTGAAAGACGACAGATTAAAAATTTGTTTACAGTTAGTAAACGAAAAACAAACTCGATGCGACACAAGTCTGTATTCAGTTACTGTTTTCGCTTCGTGCTGAATCCAAATTACTACCAAAGTACACACATACATGAGATAGCGGTTTTGTAAATTGTCAGTTAGACAAGAGATCATGCATGAACTTAAATTGACGTTTGCAACAGTCTAGAGAAATGTGCAACTGTAACATAAGAAGAAATTTATAAACTCTCCGAAATTTACCTATGTCACACACCAGAATAGAATCGGAAATTTTCTTAAAAAGAGCGGTGTTTCTTGAATGACATATGTCACGATGTAAATAAGAAAATCAAACGACACTTATAATAAATGAACCAACCTGTTCGTTTAAGTTTCATACGATAACACTGTCCATAAATTGTGAGAACAGATGTGAAGTTATGGAATGTACACCGTTCAGTTCCAGTATAGCAACTAAAAGTGAACAGAAATTAAATTAAGCATTAAAATGGAATAGTGTACGATTTAGTGTTCAGTGACTGATTATATTATAAACGATTTCTGCAAGTACATAAAGCTAAAGAGAATTTTTAATTCGCTACATAAAATATTTTGTTTTTCGACTTCAGTAGCAGACACACTGTGAACATTAACCCCACCTAGATTACTAGCTCGCTAGTTTTCTAACCGGTGCCAAGCCCGGATAAAGAGGGAGGGTTGGGGCGTGATGCTAGCAACTCCGCCCCAAAAACCTGACCAAATCGCTACAGAAACTTCGACGCAAAAATATATTAAGAATTCTAAAATTTTAAACAGTAGCCTTATTTTTCGCTGGAATCAGGGAAGTAAAATGACGCAGGCTGGTGAAAGCCTTCGACAAGCCAGTCAACCGACGTGCCTTCTTTCCACGAAAGCAAAAATAAGGTGTGGTACGTGGAATGTTCGTACAGTGCGTGAAACTGGAAGGGCTGCCCAAGTAGCCGCAGAAATGAGATGTAGAATAGAAGTGTTGGGAATCTGCGATTGCAACCGGAACGGATGTGGTAGGTGCCAACTACCAACTGGACAGACAATAATCTATTCCGGTCACCCAGAGGACAATGAGGAGCACACCGAATGAGTGGTCATGATGATGTCACCAACAGCAGCCAAAGCTCTCATGCAGTGGGAACCAATCTCCTCCAGGATAATGACAGCTACAGCATATTTGTAGACACATTCCTGATAAAATTGGGAAGTTTAGAAAACGTATTTTTTGGCAAAACAATATTATATATATATACGAAATGAATAAAGAGTTAAGAGGTGAGAAAATAACTTAAGGTCAAGTTGAAAGGACATATTCAAGGTCAATAAAAATGAAGATCACTAAACCAAATAACAGAGGTAATAGTACATCTACACTGATTAGTATCAAAACAGAGTTTATCAAGGAATGTTTAGTGTGATGACGAATTGTGGTTAGAACTCATCAAAGTGGTTTGAACTTCCTAATTGCCAGCTAGGGCTTCCACAAACATCACGATACGCCCTCCCTCAAACAAGTGTTATAGATAGGTTCAAGAGATTTGTTAACGTCAATTTCATGTCCTGTCTCTATGATATCTTTCGTAATAGAGGAGCTAAGAGTCCTGTTCTCATCAATAATGGTTCGAGGGATTCTATTTGCTTCAGAAGCCATTTAGGAATATGTTGTGAAGTCAGTCCTTACTTGCAGAGATCGATGAGTCCTCCCTATGTATGTGTGTCCGTATGTACATTCAAATTAGTAAATACAGTGGGATATGACATTATTTTTTGCATGTTCAAAGGGCTTAGATAGATATATTGGCTTCATATTCTCAATTATTATGTTATAAGCTGCATGAAAAGTCACTTTAACAGCAGCGTTCAGTCATTGTCGAGTTATCAAGCTGCTATGATGCCTCATATTGGGTAGCTTGATGAACACATACTTCTTAGGGGTGAGTATAATCTAGGCTTTGAGTTGTCACCACCCAATTATTCATTGAAGATATTACAAACATCACTGTAAGCATAGATGACTGAAAAAAATAAAATAATTAACTTGTTTTTCTCATTTTGAACAATAAGACTATCCGCCAAATTATTACGGCTTTCACACTTTAGCTAATGTGAACTGACTAAATATTAGGTCTTATCTTATTTAGTTATCGTTAACAGAGCATTTATTTGTATTTATTCAGACTAGTTTTGTAAATCTCAGGTCATATTTACTTTTTGTGAGACATCTGATTCTTCTTTTATCTATTTTAAGTTTGCATATCTTACACTACTCATATAGAACCTTTAAAAAGTAAATAAATCACTTTTTCTACTTAAGTGACCTAATGTTCATCTCGTGGGAAAGTTTGGACATCGTCTCTAGAAGTAATTGATTTGAATATAAGTCAGAAATCTAGCAGTTATCACTATGCTATCATCAGTATTATTGATAATTGATGTATATCCATATAATATGTGTGTTTGTTTTTTTGTTTGCACCAGCGTTGAATGAACGGAAGGCTGAAGTCAGAGTTCAATTCAAAGAGCCTCATTTTCACGTATTTGGAACAGAGGGCGTACCGCGTAATGAATTAGTCCTACGCGTGCAACCTGATGAAGCAGTTTATATTAAATTGAATGTGAAATCTCTTTGTCATATAGACATGTTGTTACAGCCACAAGGTCAAATTATTGTTATGTACTAGTTTTCCCCGTCGCCAAATTATTATTATGGATTGGTCGAGAATTTAATAGTCCTGACGCAAGAAAGACAGAAATCAGAAGACCACTAGGTTTGCGATGATACTTCTATTTTCCAAAACACCAGGAGAATCAATTAATGTGTCACACAAGAGTGTGAGAGCAAAAATATATGAATGTCCGAACAAGTGTGTGAGCGTATATTCAAAGTGAGCAAATCAATAGACGGTCTTAACGTGATTGGCTCATTATAATGGAATATCGATCCATATATACATAGCAAAATATATCAGACTGTCAAACAAACACACATATTATATGGATATATATCAATAGCCACTTGTTTTTAAGCGGATACCGAGAACTGATAATCAAATGGCCGGCCAATCAGAAGGAATTAGCAATAAGAGTCTCTGGCACACAGCTAACCAACCAAGAGCTGAATGCTCAAGAAACATGCAGAAGAGACTTGGAGGTCGATCGGGTGTTTGCTGAGGAGGCCATCGAATAACATCGTGCGCAATACACGCTTTCGCTCGGGCGGAATCCAAATGAGAAGCGATGAGTGGGTCATCGGTGGGGGGGTGACATGGAGGAAATCGTGGGCGTTGGAGGTGGAGATGAGAGATTATGGGCAACTGTGGCGCTAGCTAGCTGAAGGGACAGTAGAACATAGAAGAAAGTGGATATGTGTTGTTGAATCTCTCCCTACGTTCCACTCGGAACCCGAGGGAATAATATTAGTTATAATAATATTGAAATTGGCTCAGATAATCTGTAGCATCAAACGAAGTGATATTCAAACCTATGTAATCCAGGTTTAAAGTGAGAGAAGCCATCAGTTAACTATTTTTACGCCCACATATGGTGTTATTCGGGTGACCTTCAGAAATGTTTCATTCGTGTTTTCTTTTTATTTCACGGAAATTTCCCATTCTGACATGAATATAAGAACGACAAAATCAGTGAAGAGTCTCTTTTCAGCGAATTCATTCACTTAGCTGTACAATCGCATTTATACATAATTACTTGGGTGTGTGTATGTGTACATTAGGATTGTCAAAGAAAAATAAAATTTAGAGTTACTGTTTAAGTCATCAAAATGTTTCCAAAAATGTTATGAATAATCAAATTGTAACTAGAGGGGTGAAGATTGGTAATTATTGACAACGGTTGTGTAATATGAGAGACACTCAGAAAAATAGGATGTTAATGAAAGAGCATGGAGGTAAGTGTCCAAAATAAGTGTTATGTAATAAGTAGAAACAGGAAATAAAGGAATGGTTGAGAAGAAGATGTTGCTAAGACGTCATACAAACATTTTAAAAAAAATACAATTTCACTATGATTACTATCTCCTTGAAGTCCGAGTAAAAACACAGGGTTACAGATGTGCATCTCCGCTTCAGTCGGCTTTCTGTAGTCTGTTTTAACTGCGTGTGTGATTCACCATAATTTTTTTCTTGCTTATTCACACGACTGACTCTATGTCATATTTAGTACTACATCGAGTTAGTTGTTTCCCGTTCTAATTCCACTCGAGGCTCTGCCGCGTCATGTCATTTAACAGTCTCATCATTGTCTGTCCCACCCATCTTTATCTACCTCCACATATGTTTTCGGTGATGAATTGAATGGTTGTTTCGACAGAATACTAGAGTTCCTTGTTACATATCCTCTCTGGCTCGTCACCTAATCTTTAGTCTAGATCAAAGACGTGTATTGAGGGAGGTTAGCAATAGCCCATCGTAAATGCTTTTCATGCGGATCGTATCTTGTTTCTGAAACATGTAGGAGCATTAATTGACTTTAAATTTATTGTCGAAAATTCGAATTTTTTTACTCGTAACGTCTGTAGGAAGTTTCTTTATTTGAAGTAAAACATTTTGCGAGAAATTATGCAGAGATTTCTCTGTTGTGTGTGTAAACATGTTGTCTAAACTAAAATTGCCAGCTCATGATGAAATTCTGGAATCAAACAATTGTATCCCTACAAACGAATACTTGAATATCGATGAGATATTTACCAGCGACTTACCCTATTCAGGTAGGTAGTTACCTGGAGTTCCAGTGAGAAGTTGTGATCAGGAGGGTGCATCAGGCTGGGCGTAAAGACTAATACTCGATGAAGCCATTGGCTAGTGATCGTGCTATGTCATGCATGAATAAGTAGAAGTTGGAATTCATGAGCTGGCCATTGGACTGGGTACCAGTGGCTTAATGGTCTGCGAGCTCGCTCGTCCTATGACCAGAAGGTCCTGGACTCGAACCACGGTGGTAGACGCGTGCTGATGAAGAGTTTAAAACTGGGAGAAGACAGATGTGCAGCACTCCCACCTTTTCCAGTGGTTCTTTAACCGATATAAGCTAACGATTTTTTATGATAGTTTAAAATTTTTTCTAAAGTAATTATTAGTTTTCAAGCAGATAAACTATTCCGTGCGCTTAAACACTGAAGATGATTTTTCAGCATTTTACGTAGAGATGGAAAATACTAGAAGGATCACAGGTGATCAGCGGCGCTGACAAATACGGTGCTAGGGCAATATGTTATGATCTAAGGAAACATTCGCAAATCGATTTAGTTTCTGTGCATAACTGCCTGTAAACATCTTCGGAATGCAGAACATTTCCAGTCACTTTGTGGCAAAGCTTACGGAAATAGATGCTTGATTAATATATTTACAAAATACTTCATAAAATGGCTAACATTTACGTATTTTTAGTCTTTGTTTTTAGTGTTTTAAGTGGCTAGATGTATGATTCAT